CGGCGCGCCGAGCCGAGGCGCGCCGCACGTCCTGCCGGGGCCAGCGGAGGACGCGGCTGCCCGGGCGGCTCCGGCAGGGGCGAGCAGCCGCCCCGTGATTGGCGCTGCGCTGCCCGCGGCCCCCGGTCGCGGCGTGCCTGTGCTCGAGGCGCCCGCAGCCCGCGAGGCTCCGCCGCTGCCCCTGGGCACACGGCGGGCTGCGCTACGTGGCCTCGGCGCGGCGGCGCTCTTCCTGCCGGGGAAAGCGGTGCCCGCCCGGCCGCGCAGACCTTCCCGGAGCGAGCGGGGACGGGGCCCCTGGAGCGCGGGCCGCCCAGCGAAACCGCACGGGCCGGACCGCAGCCGCTGCTCGCCGGCGCAGCCTTCTCTCTTCTCTCCAGAAGCATCTTCCAGCGCGCCAGGGGCCAGTCGCTCCTTCTGTTACCTCTCCTTAAAAATCATATATCGTAAGCGGTGTTCCTTACCTTCAGGGCACTTCATTTTATCCCTGCCCTCATGATGGGTCCTTGAACCAAGACAGCAATTAAATGTCAAGTTTGTGGGTTCAGGTTCAAATTCTACACCGACTGGTTGGCAGACCAGAAAATCTACGGGTTCTAAACGAATGAAGGAAGCCTTAGTTTCGTACGTTAGTTTCATACGCAGTAGCAAAGTAAACAGAAGATCAACCACGGATCCAAACTGGTATTATTTAATTTGTTGGTAAATGTTCTGGAGTTAGAAGGGAAGTGCCTAGGTTTCCACATGACATCACATTACTCAGGGTGCCAGAATCCTAAGATGACCTCAGAGATCTCTGTGACGGGGCCAAACCGCTGGGCAGCAAGTCAGTGTCTGATAATAGGAAAATAGGATTGGTATCGCTAACATTGCAACACCTTTGCACATGGCGAACTAGTTGTCCCATCTCAAAAAGGATATCAGAGATCTCAACAGAATATATAGGAGGCAGCAATCAAAATGAATCAGGAGATTCCTGTATGAGGAAGTTTGTGTCTCGGTTTAAGAAAGAAACAGCAGAGAATTGTACAATTTTGCATGGCATAAAGGAAATAGGAAATTCTCTGGCTGATTTCAGAAGGTGATGCTGAAGGATTGCAGCTCTGCGCCATGGCAATTATGTTATGGAGTCCCACAGGATTCCATGCTATTATCTCCCATGCTATTTAACATCTACATCAAACCACTGGGAGGGTCATCTGGAGGTTTGGGCTGCAGTGTCACCAGTATGCTGATGACATCGAGGTCTACCTCTCTTTCTCATCTAATCCAGGTGAGGCAGTGACAGTTTTGAATTAGTGTCTGGACGGTGTGATGGTTTGGATGAGGGCCAACAAATTGAGACTTAATGCAGGTCAGATGGAGGATCTGCTGGTAGGCTAACTGGAGAACAGCCTTCTTGGCTCTAGAACCTGTTTCTCAGGGAGGCACACCTGGTGTTGACACTTTATTCCTTTTGGTGTCAGGCCAAACGCTTTTTATTCACCCATTGTTTTAAGGTTTGATGGCATCTCAGGATGGGATTTTTATTATTTATTTTACATTGTATTTTAATTGTGCTGTTACTGTTGTGAGCAATCTTGAGACCTATTTTGGTATAGATGGACTATAGATGTTTTAAATAAATGAATACCAGAACGTGGCCATCTAATGAAACCAGTTAGAAGAGATTTAGGACATCTCTTCTACATACCATGAACGGTCTTGGAAATTCACTGACACAGGATCTCCATGCGTACTAGATACGTTCAGAGAGGATGAGGTTCTGCACTTTTCACCTCTAATAATGCAGCATACAGTGAACACCCACTAAAATTCATCAAGAAGCACAATAAATCTCTGCGCAGCATTTAGAAAATCAATTCACAATCAAAAGTAGAGAGACACAAAAAGCCCACATTAAAAGCCAGATGAAATAAAAAGGCCTCATCGGCTCACCTGAAGCTTAAGGGGCATGATGCCAAATGGACAAAATGTAATCAGTTGACACTGGAGATCACTAGCGGGAATTACTGGGAAGTGTTGTACTGTAAGCTCATCTCATGTCCCAGTTCTAGCTATGCCCTCTTCCAGTAGGGCTTTTCCCAAGTGTTGGCGAGAGCAGGGATACTAATAGACCTGACACTGCAGTTATGAAGCACAGATGATGTGCCCAGGACTGGTTTAGATACAAAGAAGGGTTTGTTTATTTTTTTACATGTCAAGTACTTTGGAAAATTCCTGCATTAAACAACAGAACAAATTCTCCTAGTTATACCTTCCTGGGATTGCATTTTTAACATAAGCAGCTTCTGAAGCTCATTTATGAAAAAATAGCTTGAAGCCATACAGTTTTCCTTTTATGGGAAAAGCAAATCAACAGTCTGCACAATATTTATCAGTATAAAGAGCTTTTTAAAGTTTACAAATATATAAACGTTAAGTACAAAAGTATCCCCACCCTCATGCCCTTGAGGATGAAGGTTACCATAGAAAAACCCTTCATGTGTTAGCTTCACAACACATTGCAGATCCTGAAAGAGGCGGTGGCAAGACTACTGCTGGTGATCCGGAAGATCTGAACAATTTTAGGCTCAATATTCAGATGCCTTTTGCAGGCAAAGTCCTTGAGCAGATTCAGGCACTCTTGGATGAAACTGATTTTCTCCATCCATGTCAGTCAGCATTCAGGTCCAAATCTGAGTAATGAGGGTATCTTAGTTACCCTTTATGATGACCTGTGTTGGGAGACTGATGGAGAAATCTGTCCCAGTTGATGCTCCTTGATTCTTCAAGGGGTGCTCAGATCATGGTATCCACTTGAAATGGCTGTGCAAGGTATGGCATTCTTTTGTGATGGTTTTGTTCTGACCTGGAGGGCCATTTCCAGAGGATCATATTTGGAGGCTGTTGCTCTGTCCCATGCAATCTCTAGTATGGATTTGCAGCAGCTGATTTGCTCCCCCATATTAACATCTACATGAAACCGTCATGTGGGGGTCCCCAAACTTTTGTTGTCGAATCATCTATCTGCTATGACACAGCTGTTTCTCTTCCTTTTCATGCCAGCTGGATGTGGCAATGGATGTGCTCAACCAGTCCAGTCGAGACAGAGAAGTTACGGGGGGGGGGGGGGGTTCCTCCACCCAGATCAAGAAAATTCAGCTGGCTGTAACTGCAGTCACATTCCTCCTGAAGGAACCAGGGCGGATCTTGTGCGCACAAGAGCATCTTTATCACTGGAGGTTCAGGTGGCCTCCATGGAGTGCAGTGCCTTTTAGCTGGCAACCAAGCTGCAACCCTATCTGGACGGGGATAACTCAACATCAGTGATCTTTGATCTGGTAACTTCTAATTTATGTTACTAAAGTTCAATTATATGTTGGGCTGACTTTGAAATGGTTAAAAATGCAGGTAGCACAGAATTCAAGGGCCAGGTTGTTGGCTGGGCAATGCTGACTAGGCAATATGAGCATTTAAGTCCTATCTTGACTTGCCTGAACTAGTCACCAATTTGTTTCAGGCCTAGCTTAAACTTATAAAGCTTTACATGGCTTGGGAAACCAATTTCTCAAGGGCTGCCTCTCCTGGCAAAAAGTTAATCTGTCCCTGAGGTCAACTTTGGATGCCCTCTTTCGTGTGCCCTTCCCTGAGAAATGCTCAGGATGATAGTGGCAGTGTAGGTATGACCCTTTCTGGGATAGTCCCATGTTTCTGGGACAGTGTCCTGAAGTTCACCTAGTGTTGACACTCATCTTTTTGGTGCCAAGCAAAGTCATGCTCATCTTTCAAGGAATTTGGGCATTAGTTACAACCCATTTGATGTGGGCTGCTTCTATAGTGTCCATTATAAGCTATGAGTAAGAAAGACTGGGCATACTGTGGATTAACACATTTCATATTCTAAGATGCTTTTGTAAGTAACAACTGCAGTTTATATTGATTTTGAGGAGTTTCTCTGTTGTATTAATCATGCATTTCTGTATTGTAAGTTGCTTTAAGATTTCTTTTTGCAGCAGGAAGCTGTGCAGACATTTTAATGAGTTCTCTGTGCTAAAGAAAATCAAGGTTCTGCACTGAGGTAACCCAAATTTTGCAGTCTGTTCAAGGATTGTAGTCTTGCAAAACTTAATAGGCATAATTATACATTTCTATTAATTACACATTAATTTATGCATTCTGCTTGTTCATGAGAAGGAACAAGAAGCTATCCAGAATGCTGAAGTCCCACTTTCTGACCACAGGAGAACTTGTTTAACAGGTCTGGAAACAATATCAGATACAGCTTCAAACATATGAGCTGGAATTAAAACTGACATCACTGGAAACTAAATTACTCCATAGCTTTTATGGGTTTCCATGGAACTGCAGCATGCATGCACACATCCCTTCTCACTTAGAAATACACTGTTTGTTTTCCTATTTCCTCCAAAAACAATTAGCTAGATTTGATTCCCTCCAATTATTTAACACACCAGCTACCCAACTTATGCCATGTGTTGGATTCCAAAGGAACTTCCATATATGCCTAAAAGCAGCAGTGAGCGGGTATACAAGAGCAAACAGGAAACTGACAGGCCTCCTGGAATAGAGAATTTAAGGTGGGAGAAAACGTTCCCTTGAGTTACCAGGGTCCCAAGCCATTTAATGCCTTTGAAATGGGTTCTGAAACAAGACACGTTGCGTCACTGCTGGTCTGCACAGAAAGAATATGCATGCACATATAGAATGGCAGGTTCACACTACCACAGGGAAAATAAGCTACACTAACCTAATTTGCATAATTATCTTCACCAGGCATAAGCCTTTGTGAATGGCTGGAGCTGGTTTATAAACTATCTGAAACCCTAAAACAAGCTATATTATTAACTAATTATTTGTATATGCTTCCTTTCTTCTTGCATCAAACTCAAGGCAATCTACATAGACCTCCCACTCCTCTCCATTTTATCCTCACAACACCCCTGTGAAGTCGGCTAGGATGAGAGACAGTGAGTAGTCCAAAGTTGCTCACTAAGCCTCATGGCTGAATGGGGGCGCAAACCTGAACACCTTGAATCCTGGTCCAACACTCTTAACTGCTATGCCACTCTGCTTTTCTCACTGGCCACAGGTTTCAGGGCAGGTTGAGATACACATCATTATGCTAAAAGGGCTGCTTTTTATACATGGGGTGGGAAAAGAAGGCACATGGCAATCTCTATCACTGAAAAAAGACTGCATGCTCACATCTGCTCTGTGCTCCTTTGGGGGCGGATCCATTTACAGCACAAACCAGCCTGACTTCTAACATCACCGATTCCCCAGTTTGATCTTCCAACATCCCTGTCTGGGTTGAAAGCATAGAAAGCCCTATCTACCCACATTAACCCTCATGTCCAAAACACAAAGCCCAAGAGCCTTCCAAATAAGTGCTCACTTGAAAGAAAACTTCTCTACCCAGATTGCATATAATGAAGATAGAAAAACAGAGAGATTGGTTGGGGGGGGGGGGTTGGGGTCCCACTGATGAGGAAGAGACTCCAAAAAGAACCCCTCACATACAAAAAGCAAAGACTGAAGGACACTGGCAGTTAATAGCAGGAATATTTTCCAGACACAATCAGAATGTAACCAGGTAGAAATTTTTTAATAATTGTTAGGCCCCATTCAGAGAACCTCTGCTCTTCAGCAGGACAGAAAATTAAATAAAATATTTGAACTTTGTCCCAGTGTTAGAGGAGAGTGCCTGCGCATGGAGCACTGAGACAAGTGCTTTGACGGCCTCTCACCAGTCTTACTTGCACTGGCCAGCAGTTGTCAGAGAAGCACTAAGCAATGCAATGTCACCAACTTGCTGGTAACTTCAGTGCAGCCTGCGCTTCTTCCTGGTGGCTGATGGAGCCCTAAGATTTCCGGGAGAGGGCCGCGCAGGCTTCACAGGCCTGGAATGCTTCTGAAAGGAGACTTTCCGTGACACCAAGCGCCATTTCTTCTTATCAGCTTTTAACTCTCCTTTAGGCTGCTGCTTGGCTTCTGTCGCTGCAGAAAGTTCCTCTTTTGCACTTTGCTTCTTAACAGCTTTCAACTGTGCATGTTTTTTCCTTTTAGGCAGACGCTCAGCAACTGCTGGAGCAGAATCCTCTTCTGCTGTCTGCGAAGCTGCCTCCTCATTAGGTTCTTCCTCTGGAAAGGGAACCAAGAGTTAGACCAGAACAGTAGAGAAACACTGCACTGAGCAGGAAAAAAAGCACCAAGAGTAGCCAAAGAGCACAGCCAATATAGGAAGAGCATCCTATTTTGTCAAGGGACAAAAACATCTTTTGAAACGGTGCTGCGAAGTACAGCATCTGGCTTCCAAGAAGGTCCCCCAGGATGACCCAGGGGGCAAATTCCTGAGCACTTCAGTTTGTCATGATTGAATATTAGAGGAAATTTCTGGCCATTGTTTCTGAAGAAAAGTGTTGAGATAAGATAGGTTCTAAACCCCATTCTGGCTTATTCATGACATTACTCCAATTGCTTCTTCCTAATTGCAGTTAAGACAAGCTGCTTCGAGCTACCCATTATAAGAATGCTCTGTTAGCTCATCCACTGCAAAAGATGACTCAAACTGAAAGATATTTGAAGCCCGGGCCGAACTGAAGGTGTTGGTGATGACCTATGCAACCCTGAATGGCTTGGGTTCTGGATACCTGAAGGAGCACCTTCTTCTCTATGTGCCTGCCTGCCCCTTGAGATCTGAGGAAGAACTACTTCCCCAGGAGCTCCTCTTGAAGATTAGGAGGGTGGTTACCTGGAGGAGGGCCTTCTCTGCAGTGTCACTCCAATTATGGAATATGCTTCCCAGAGAGGTTCACCTGGCACCAACGCTTTTTTCTTTTCAGTGCCAGGTGAAACTTATTTTCCCATCATTTTAATGTTTAATTGGTTTTAATGTGGTTTTATACTGTTGCACTATCACACAGGTGGCGAACCCATGGCACGCCTGCCAGTGGGCACACAGAGCCCTCTCTGTTGACACATGAGCCAAGTCGTCCCAGCAGCTGAGCATCAGATAACAGCACACACAGGGGCCATGCGTATGCTCGGAAAGGAGTAGCGGCGCCAGGCAATGTCATGAGCCACGACCTCTTAGCCGCGACTTGTCCAAGCTTTCGCATGGCTGGTCAGTGCGCTGCCAAGGATATTTGCTTGGACTGGCTGCGAGTTTTAATACATTCATTTTTAGTAACACAACATTTTGACTCTGAGTTTTCTTATGAAAAACTGCAATTTAATAGCTAAGATTTAGCAAAGAGATGTTCTAATTAAGAGATGAAGATTCTTTTACTGTTGTGCTGTCCCCCTAGCATATTTGAATCTGAAGCATCATGTTTGTGAAGAATTCATGAAAACGAGCAAGGGTATATATATTTGCTTGGACCGGCTGTGATTTTAGCAGAAGCGCCCACAAAGTAGGGAATGCATTCAGATGCTTTTTTCAGAGCAGGCCAAAAGCTGGTGGTCAGTGGAACCAGCATGCATACAACAACAAAGATCACATTAATTGTGCAAAAGCACGCCAAAGGCAAACTTTTACCTTTCAATAAAAAGCTGTTTGCATCATTGAAAGCTCTGTTATTGTGTTTCGATTTTAAGACAAAAGATGTTAATGTATGAGTTGTTTTTTCTAAACTAAAACCCCAGTATTCAGGTTTTATTGCAGTGTTGGCACTTTGCAATAAATAAGTGGGTTTTGGGTTGCAGTTTGGGCACTTGGTCTCTTAAAGCTTTGCCATCACTGCACTATTGGATGCTGTGCCATTTTATTTCCTATTTTACTTGTTGCAAACCGTCCTGAGACACCAGTAGATGGACAGTCTATAAAAGCTTTAAATAAATAATGTATGTATGTATGTATGTGCATAACTACATATTAGTGTAGCTGCCTTTTTGAGATACTGAACTAAAAGCTACTACTGACTATTAGATGGAATGGCAATTTAAAAATATCCTTTCCCCTGATTATATTAATGCCAGTACCAACATCTTTAGAAAAAAAGATGGCTGTAACATTAACTTCCAGGCCTGCCAGCCAATGCTGCATAACTTAATCTGATTCTAGCTAAGCTTACCTCAATGCAAGTAAACTCTAAAAAGGGAAGATGAGGCTTATCTGGCCCTTACTTCCAGTTCAAAACATTTGTCATTCATTATCACCATAAACTAAAACATGAACACCTGGCTAATGCGAAGCAACATCTGTGGTAATCTGGCTACCAGATTAATGGTTTCATACTGAACAATTCACTAAAACTAAGCCTTCGGCATTTACAGACATGATTGCGCTTGAGAAACAAATGGATATGGCTGTCCAGACTGCAGAATTCTGTTTGGCAGCAAATAAACTTCCTGATCAGGCAACAACTTCAGTCCAGTACCTTTCACTTCCTTGGGAAGAGCATTGGAAAACTTCTTGAGTTTCGCAACAAAAAACCCATCCATGTTGTGGGTGTGAGGATAGAAACGTCGTGTGGATTTCAAAGAAGGGTGGAAACGACGCTCTTTAAACCTAGGTGAACATACAGAAAGCATGTTGCATTTCCAAGGGCAAAAAGTGTCAGAATAATGGTTCGCTCTTACATTCCAATTTTAGGATTCATTAGACATACCTGGTAAATCCCTCTTTGCCGAAGTCCAGACCTGTCGGCACCAAGCGAACATTGCGTTTCTTCAGAGCGTAATCCACAACCCACTCATTTTCCTCTACCTACCAAAACATGGCAAAGGCGGTCAGATTCCTCCCAGTCCCCCACAAAGCAGGGCTGCTTCGGTACCCAGGTCAGAGGAGGCAGCAAGAGGGGAGAAACTCACCATGACCGAACATGTGCAGTACACAATGTAGCCCCCAGTTTCTGAGGCAGCGTTAACTGAGTCAATTGCACTGAGGATGAGTTCTTTTTGTAGGTGAGCACAGCGCAAAATGTCTTTCTCATCCTGAAAACGAAAGGTAGAAGCACTGTAATCACGATGCTTAAAATGATGCTTTTCCGTTATATAGTCAGTTAACTTTTAAGAATGTCAGAAGCGGCCTTGCTGGTCATTTCCAAATTAACAGAATCTGGACAAGTAACTTCTCAATGGAGGCCTTCTTCGAAGTGGTGCCAGTCCTGTGGAAAACTGTTCCCTCAAGCAGTTTAGACAAAAAACGTGGTATGCATCTTGCAAGCCTGCTTGTTCTCCCGGCTAGTGTTTCAATTAATCATGCTGTTCCATCTTACTGTTCTGTATTATTATTGTGTTTGGAACTGTTTTAGTACTGTATTTTAAATGAAATTTTAAAGATTTCTGTGTGAACCATTTAGTGATTTTGCTCTATTAAGCTGTATAAGAAGTATCAGAAATAAATACAATGCTTTGAGCATTCAAAGTGCTTCAGTTAGATTATCCAGTAGTCAACAATCTGTCACCCCACAACATCCCCAGGATGTGGGGCACTGAGGCTGAAAGACATAGCATGACAACCCAGCCTAGATTATAACCTATGACAATCTTCTTTTAGAAAATAAGTGAATGAATGAATGAATGAATGAATGAATGAAATATGTTGCATGACCATGCTAGGGGCTTGGGGTTCTAAGCTAACCTGACAACCCATGGCTCGTGGTTGGGTTTCTCTGACCCATGACAGCTTGTCGTCTCCTTCATGGTTTCCTGACTGCTCATTAAGCATGCTAGCATCTTCTTGGACTTGCCAGTATTTCCCTAATCTGCGATATACTTTCTAGCCAAACTTCTTTTTTATTTTTAAATGGCCGCCATACATCCAGGATAGTTCTGGCCTTCCTACCTCCCACTCTTTTCAGCTTGTTTGGACCTAATCCCCTCATTTATAGCAAGCTCTCTTTTTGGAGCAAAGTGTGAACACAGGCTTTCTTCTGACACACACACACAATCTGATAGCACAGGGCTGCTTCCACTCAGTTCGGCCCATGCAGCACATGGGCACTGTTCTAGACCCCACAGGGGTTTCATGACCAATTGGTCTAAGGCACACTCATTTACTCTAGAAAGAAGTGCAGTCTCCCAGCTAGGCAAGCAAGTCCCCAGTCGAGAAGCCCACACAGTCCCTCTCCCTTCCTCAAAATTGTCTCCAAAGACACGTACACGAAGGTTCTGGTGACTTGCACAAAGGAGGGAGCCAAAGGGCAGCAGGGGCTCCTCCCTTCCAGCGCCCCTTGCACAGCTCCTCCCTCCTAATCCAGATCCTGCAGTGCTACTGCAGGGCTCCTGGCTGAACTCACCTTATTGGTTTTAACGGTGGGGTCCTTCGAAATAACCCCTGTGCCACTGCAGGGAGCATCGAGCAGGACCCTGTCAAAGCCACCCAGTACCTGGAGAGGAGAGGAGAGGAGAGGAGAGGAGAGGAGAGGAGAGGAGAGGAGAGGAGAGAAATGCGTTCAGAAAGAGGCACCTCTTATCTCGTGGGTTGCTGCCTGGAGACCAGGCGTATTTCTTGCCGTGCTTTCAGATACACAGTAGGGGGCGCTGTTCCTGCCAGTCCTGGCCCCAGCCAGCGGCACACCTCCCTTGCCTGCTGCATGCTGGAGTGCCCCCTGCCCGGCGGTGGGAGAATGGTGTGGATGATGGGACCAAGTAGAAGCTGCAACACACCCGCCTTGTTCCCTGCTGCACCACAGGACTGGAAGGGATGCCCCTGGAGACCGGGCTGGTAAACCTGCTCCCTGCCCACACAGGGAGGTCCACGCGCCACTCCCTCCACCGCCCCTCAGCTGGATACCTTGGGGAACTGGCGCCCATCACAGTGGCTCACAACCGTGTTCGTGACTCCTAAGCGGTGCAGGTTCCCCACCACACTGCGCAACCGCTCGGCGTTGCTGTCATTGGCTAGTATCACACCTGTGTTCTTCATCAGTTGGGCTGCCGGGATGAAACACCAAAGGAGGGGTCAGCACGGTCAGCTGGCCCACCTACGCCTCCCCAGTCCTGACCACAAAGGCCTTCTCCCGCCCCCACCACCCGCACCTTTCCTCTCTCCTCAGAGAACCCTGTGTCCACTCCTGCCCTTCCCCACAGAACAGACCTGAGTTTGCATCACCTGAGTTTGGGTTCTCCTATTTGCTCATTGAGGAGTGGTCAAAATACTGTGGCGCCCTTCTGTACAGCCACTAGGAGGCAAATTCTTTGAGGAAAGCTTAGCCAAGGGAGTTGCTGCTATTTCCTCCCTGAAGCCAGTTTGTACATTCCTCCAAGAGGAGGAAGGCCACCCTGCACCAGAGGGCCCGCCGAGCAGGGTCAGGGAACTCCTCCTCTGTGCTGCTCTGACCCTGCTGCGCAGGAGTGAGAGAACCAATGAGGCCCCCTCAGGAACCATGGGGCAGGAGCAAGCTCAGCCCCACAAGGTTCAGCGCTTGCTACTGCCACCTGACTTCTCTCCTCTCTTCCTGCAGATGAGACCAGCAGTGCAGACTGGCAGCCCGCAGCAGAACCAGGCCTTGTGGGGGAAGCGGGCAGGGCCTCCTCCTCCAGGTCCCGCGGAATCTCTCTTCACTGCATCAGAACACCCTAGTTGGACCCCCAGAAGACAGCAAGGAGGGAGAACGTGGGCACATTTCAGCAGCCCATCTCAACTCTCCGCTGGTACCTATGTAGCTGGTCTTTCCTCCCGGGGCGCAGCACATGTCCAAGATGCGCTCGTTCTCCTGGGGAGCAAGAGCCATGACGGGGAGGAGGCTGGATGCCCCTTGCAGCATGTACTGCCCAGCCAAGTATTCTGGAGTGGCACCTAGCAGCAAAGAGGGGACACACACAGGAAGCAGTGAGAAGCGCGCAGGCCTCTGACAAACCGCCGAAGGACGCCTGGGGAGGGAAAGGGAAGAGGCAGACGGCTGCCACTCGCTCACCTATGGGCACAGAAGAGTCGTATACCACAAGTCCAGTTTTTGACCACTTCCCTAATGGATCTAGATTCACTCCACGATTAATTAAGGCCTGTAGGAAGAAGTGGGGAGAGAGTGAGGGTTTCAATGAAGGCAGGGGTGAGGCAAAGAAAGCGTGGGGTGCACCACCACACACCTGTGCCAGGTCGCGTCGCCGTGTCTTCAGCGTGTTCGTGCGGAGGGTCACGGGTCGCGGGACCTCATTCGACTCCAAAAATTCCACCAGCTAAAAGCAAAACAAGCCCCCCGAAAAAAAGAAATCTGAATGAGAGCATTCTCTGTAATTAAGGAAGAGCAACTTTGGAGCTACAGCTGCATCCCTGGAAAGAAGCGCTTTAGGGCTGCCGCTGAGCTAATGATATGAATTTTATGTGCTGATCAATTAAACACACAGACACACACCTATATATAGGAAAACAGCATTCTGAATAAATGGGAAAATGTTTTGAAAAGTAGTATTTGCAACCATGTGGCAATTTGATAAAAAATAAAGCTCAACCTTGCCAGTGTTCTGCGATGGGGAGAGTGCAGGACTGGGACCAAGGCGATCCGGGTTCTAGTTCCCATCCAGCCATGAGGCTCACTGGGTGACTTTGGGGCAGTCACTCACACTCAGCCTAACCTACCTCACAGGGTTGTTGTTGTGAGGATGAGTGGAGGACTGGAGAACAATGCAAGCATTTGGGCTCCTCACAAGAGGAACAAAAGGTGGGATATAAATACAATGCAACTATATCCTCACTGAAATTTTAAGGAAAAAGACAATAAAAAAGTTCATCACTGGTATTTTAACACCAACATACCTTAATAAAATCTAGAAAAAGATGTGCAAAGCACGGGCATGTTTTGGCCTATCTGCTGGTCTTGCCCAAGAACCACTGCAGTACGTGATGGGCTATGTAGTTCCCCCAGGAAAGTGGCCTGGAGGGCTCGGCCAGCCTTTGATCTCAGGGAGCAGCAGTGTGCAAAGGAAACGGTTGCATTGCAGCAGCGTCCTTCTGCCGGTTCCTGCAGGCTTTTGCTCTGGGATCAGGCCAGCGCTGGGTGGATTAGGTATGCCAGCACACTCGCTCCCTGGCTGCGAGACCGATATAACTGGCTGGGCAAATATCCAATGGATGCCTGGACTGTAAAAATCTCCCTCTTACTTTCGATGCTTTTGTGTTGCAATGAGCTGAACTCCCCCCATGGCTTCCTTATGGATAGGTGCACATTGCGCTGTGGGAAGCGTAAGTCGGCCAAAACGAGATGAACGTGTCGGGTTTTAAAACACTGCAGAAATATTCCAGGGCGCTGACGCTTTCGCATGGCTCTGTGGTTCCAGTGGCTCAGTTCTGCGTAAGTATTCCTGGCACTGAGCTTTCCGGGGATGACATTTGTGCAGTCAGCTGAACTGGCAACAGCGGGACTTGGGAAAGGGCAATTCTTCAGCCCTGCTTACTACTAAAATTTGCCCCCCAGGGGCTCCTCTGAAACGGAATTTGGGTCTTTGCGACTGAATCTGTGATTAGGCATCCCTGCCTTTGGACAGAGAAGCCGCCAGAGAACCTCCCTCTCCTAGTGAAGGCAAGTAAAGAACTTGGCAGGGCACAAAACAAGCTCTTTGTCCTACCTCCAGAGTCTGGTTGGAAGAGTTACTGTATCTACTATTCCCTTGCAACTGCTGTTTTTAGATTATCCAAGCATGCGTAGGTGACAGTGGGTGCCATCTTAGAGAGACTTTCCCTTGTACTGTTTTTTTATAAGTGAAGTGAAGTTTATACCTTTTCTAATATAATCTAACATTCAGCTAGTGAAAGGCTGGGATTCTCACACAGGACAACAGCAGACTTTGCTGGGTCAGACCGAAGACCCACTCAGTTTATCATCCTGTTCCCCCAGGAAGAAGCCACAGCATGAATGAGCCAGGGTGCCCTGAGGGAGCCGAGCAGTTGGAAAGCCAAAGGAGCCAGACCTTCAGCTCTAAACTGCAGCCTGCCACTTCCGGCTTGAAAGCGCAAGTAGTACTTTTAGCTTTCAACTGCTTGCTCAAGTTGGCTTGGCGACGAACGGAGCGCATCCACACTTTCATCCGAATGCCCCCAATGCCGCCTTCTCCAGTCGTAAAGGTCACGTTCACCTTTGAAGACCCGCCAGGGCCAGCCAGATGCTGTGGTCAGATACACGCACCTGGGCTGTATTTTGGCATTTCCGAGGCATTCAGTCATGCAGAATCATCTTCCCTCCCAGCCTAGAACAGCAAACATCTTGTGGACTGCTTGGATTGTTATTTTAATACTGTGACTGCTTGTTGTTCAACATGGTGTAAAAGATGGGCATCCCTAGAAAGGAATTAGCTGGATGAAATAATCTGTTAGGGTCCCAGAAAACAGTACCTCAGCAAGAGGGAAGAGGTCCATCATCTTCCCAATTAGGAAGCCGCTGTAAGAGTAGTAGGAGGCAAGGTCCAGATGCAGAAGGCTCAGATACTCCTGCCGGGAGCGACCCTCCTCGCGCTTGGTGGCGAAGTCCTGAAGCACCTCTATGTTGTCCTTGATGCGCTGATGAATGAGCTGCAGGTCAGGCGGCTGAGCAGGTGATCAGGCAGTTAAGGACATCCATAAGCATACGAAGCTGCCTCGTATCAAGCCTGGAGTGGGGCCATATACTGTCTCCGGAGCACCTCAGGATCGGAGCACCAACCAGGGCTCACTGAGCTACAACTACTTCAATCATTGCTAGTCCTCATGCTCAACTGAGGCACGTGGGAAAGGAGCTTGACTGGAAGCTCAATCACACTTTGCACAATGACCACTGTGGATCTGCTACTTGAGCAGCAGGATGGAGCACCATGCTAGGGCTGCGCAAGACAGGCATCGGGAAACACTATGGGAGTGGTGCCAGATAAACAGTAAGTGTTCAAAGAGCTGCACGTGTGCATATAAAAAGGGTTTGAAATAGGAAGCTAGGATTTCCACCCCTTTAGGGCCAACAGAGTTGGACGTACACAAGGGAGGGGCTAGACTGGAGTGCCTAAAGAGCTCCCAAGGGCTGAGGCAGGGATTCCCAGATTGCACTGGTTATGTGTTTGTGGGGCTTGCTGCGGAAGGAGAGATGGGACAGCAAATGAAAGCTGTGCCAGGAGGCATGTGACTGCTAGCACCCCATCTCAGCATATGCTGAGCCATCACTGAAAGGAAGGATATCTTCTTTCTCTATCTCTTGCCCACTGGGAAGCACAAAGCTCTCGTCGGTCTCCACGTTGAGCTGCAGGACTTCATTGCTTTCCTGCTGCTCCTCTTCTGGCTTGTGAGACGGGGTCTCCTCGTCCTCACTGTCATCCTCGCTGAAACTCTGCCTACATCCGAGAAGGAAAGCATTTGACAGGAGAGTCTACAAAACGGTGGGACAAGAAGAGCAGTGGAGCTCTTTCATCCCTTGTGAAGATGGAGGTCTCATCAACCAACAGAACATAACCTTATGGATTACTCACCCCTCCAACTTCGCTTTCTTGGCAGCTTGTTCTATAGGCAGGAGCTGATTTCAAAAACAAACATGTATAAAGAAAAGAAGCAGCTTAATCTGAGGCCAGAGGTACCCCGTGCCTCCCACCCCTAGATGGATAATGCAAATGCACAATGGAAAGTGAGAAGATTGATGAGTCAATGGCACATTTTGACATGCTTGCATTTTCTGTCATAAATAGCTAATATGTTTCTGCTTTCCATATGTATGTTCATATATTTAATATATGACACATAACATGCAGAAAATTTCAAAGATGTACCAAGAATCCCTTATAAGCAGCAGCATCTTCTGCTGTGTGCATTCATCATTATTTCCATCCTATTATTTTAGAAAAGTTTCGTTGGCATTCAGTGACAGAATCTGGGTCATCAGCGCTCCAAAGACCGCGTGGAGAGGGGGACAGCCCGATCCGCAGCCAAGAAGAGTGATGAGAAAGTGGAAGCAACTCCTTGCCTGACGCTCTGTTTTCCACCACAACTCAGCGACCTCAGTGCTGCTGACTGCATGTGCAAACCCTGCCCTACACACCAATGGTTTGTAGCTGCCTCTTAGTGATGCAGGTTTTCAGACCTGGGATTCCTGCCACAAGTCTAGTTCTCCTCTTTAAAAGCAAATCACTTGTTAACCTGGCCTCACAGGCAGATTCCCACAATTCCTTCTGAACTGATTCCAGGTGTATATTATACTAAGTCCCACAGGAGTTTCTCCAAGGACCATCTACCCCATCTACCCAGTAACTTTGCCATTTCTTTTTCAGTCCGACAGTCCTTTCAGATACTTCCACTCACAGCAGCACAGAGAGAGGCACACCACTAAGAAAGGGTTTTAGTGGCTCGCCACTACAAAATGTGTACCCATCCTGGTTTGTCCCAACCCAGCTAACATGCTGGAAAAGGGCTGCAGACTCCCCTGCCAAGAGGGCACGGCTCCTTGCGAGAGGTCTTTCCTCCTGAACCCTGCCTGGCCACCACGGTCCTCGGCATTCTCCTCCCTCTGCCAAAGCCACTTGGGGGCTTCGCTTGCCGGCCACCGTGCCTTCCCTCACGAGCGGGCTGCATGAGGTCTACACAGCCACCTAGAAGGAGCCCGCAGTTCTGACAAGTTTAATTTTGTCTTCACTGCACACCTACCTAAAGGTCACTAGAAGACTCCCGGAAAAGTAGCCAGTAGTTTTTCAAGAAGGAGTAATGTACAATCCGTTACAATAATCTAGCATGTAAAAAATCATCACCATCATCTAGCAAGTACAATTTAATTCCTCTTTTGCAAGCTCTTTCCCCAGGTTGCTTGCTTCCTCTTTTTACTAAACAGAGCCTGAATTTATCCTCTTCACCAGGGCCTGTGTCTGCACATGAACCATCACCTGTCCCCCAGGATGGAAACAGATAAACCCAAAACCAGTGTGGCATTCACTGCAGATACTACACAAGACACAGCTGGCCCACAGTACAGCGGTACCTTGGCTCACAAACTTAACCTGTTCCAGGACTCTGGTTGTGACCCAAATTGGTCAAGCGAAGTCAAATTTCCCCATAAGGTTCAATGTAAATAAGATTAATCTGTTCTGTAACTTTTTTTTTTTTTAAACCAGAAAAATGTGAAGCAAAGTGACAAACAACAAAGATCACGGCCATCTCCCCCACCTCCCCCGAGCACGGCCATCTCCCTGCCCCCCCAGCATGACTGTGATCGCGCCCATCATCCCTGCACGCGCCCGGCGCACTGGGGGTGGGGAGAGATGGGTGCGCTCAGGGGGGAGACAGGCGCAAATGTGGGCGCACTGGGGGGGTAGAGATGGGTGTGAACGTGGGCATGCCCGGGGCGGGGAGACGGGCGTGATCGTGCTGATGGGGGGGCATGGCCGAGATCGCGGTTGCGTTCTTGCAGGAAAGATGGGCACAATCACGGGCACGGTCATGCAGGAAAGATGGGCGCCATCTCGGCCATCTCCCTTCTGCCCCCAGCATGATCACAGTCATCTCCCCACTTGGGTGGGGGGGTGGGGAGACGGCCACGATCGCGGTTGTCACCCAATGTGGAGTTCGCGACCTGAGTCAAAATTTTTATGAAATTTTTGTTCACGACCCAATTTGGGCGTGAAGTGAGGCGTTCGTGAGCCGAGGTACTACTGCATTCTGCAGTCTTCACCCCACCCCACAGAGGAGAACACTGAGCCTCGTGCTATCCTCACCCACTCCTGAGCCCTCAACGCAAGCTTCGCAAGAGTGGGCCCCCAATGCATCCAGAGCCTCAGTGACTGTGGGAGCAGCCCAGCAATACTGCAGTGAGCAGGCACATTTCTGGAATGAGGAGGAGCCTGGCATATTCATAGATCTTGAATAAATCCAGAGGCACAAGAATATCTGCGAAGCACGAGGCCCAATCAGCTTTCCCCCCGACTATCAGAGCAGATGTTATCACAAGAATTCATGTGCCCTCCCATGCGGTGCACAGAAAAAGCTCATGGGCTGAAGAAAAAGTTTAAGGAAATCTTAATTGAGGAAAGACACTCTGGGGCCACGCAAAGGGACCAGTGCCTGGTATGCCACTGGCAGCAGGACTGCCTTGTAGCAACCTCAGAAAGTCAGTCCTGACCATGTCATGAAGCTCCCAGGAAGACTCTGCCAGTCTCCAACTCATGATTGCTCCTCCATGACTCCAGGCACATCAAATCATGTTAGAGCCTCTACCTCACAGCCACCTCACTCTCCCTCTCCAGATGCACCACTGCATGAAGGTGTGACTGCCTCAGACTTCACCTCTGAGGCGATGCGGGGAGGAACTGCCAGCACGGACAAGTGGATGCCACTGGCATTCCGGGGGTAGCCTGGCAACCATCAGGACAAGCCCAATGAGGGCACGCTCCAAACCAGGCAAATCTGAACTCTCCTGCTGCCACTCTGCAACACCACCATCCGGTTACAACTCTATGGTCTTAATTCCCCGTCCTCCCTCCACAATAAAGAGGCTGCTCCAGTGTGCTTCCAAGGACGCCTGCACCCTGCAATGTACAACCATGTTCTCTTGTGAGGCTGGGCATTTCCTCGAGAGAAAGGGGCAGTGGGGATGCATCACTGTCACTGCTGGAACTATGGAAGCCTGTAAAGCCCAGGAGGTGGAGTTGCTCGTTTAAAGCTGGTGGCTGCTGTCACAGAGCATCGGTTGCCTTAGGCAAAAAGGTGCATTCCCTCCATGGGTGTTAGCAGCTGGCTGATGTTTAATGTTTTGGGGGATTTGGGGACTGATCACCACACAAGCAAAGCTGTTTCTTTCCATTTCTTCTGTCTTTATTTCTGCTTTCCCACTCCCTTATCCAACTGATTTTATTTATTTATTTATTAAAACATTTTTATGCCGCCCCATTCGCCGAAGCCTCGGGGCGGCTTACAACACTAGATAAAACAATAAGTTAAAATATCCATATAAAATAATCATAATTTAAAACACACATTATAAAATAAGCCGCCCTGGCCAGATAAAATTCAGTTGTGTTAGCATTTAAAATGTTGCTTAAATAAAGAGGTCTTTGCCTGGTGCCGAAAAACAAATAACGACGGCGCCAGGCGGACCTCTCTGGGGAGCGCATTCCATAACTTAGGCGCCACCGCTGAGAAAGCCCTTCTCTGAGTAGCCACCCTCCTAATTTCTCTCACGGAGGGCTCCCAGAGAAGGGCCTCTCCCGCCGATCTCAGGGGGCGACTGGGCAAATATGGATGTAAGCGCTCCTTCAGGTAACCAGGACCCAAGCCATTTAGGGCTTTATAGGTCATTACCAACACCCTGAATTGGGCCTGGACTTCAATGGGGAGCCAGTGAAGCTGATGGAGAACTGGAGTCATGTGAACATAACGTCCAGTCCCCATCAGCAGCCTGGCAGCTCTATTCTGAACCAATTGAAGTATCCAGACCGTCTTCAAGGGTAGCCCCACGTAGAGCGCGTTACAGAAGTCAAGACGGGAAGTCACCAGCGCATGAGTCACTGTTGCTAGGCAGTCGTACTCCAGGTAGGGACGCAGCTGATGAATCAGCCGAAGCTGGAGGAAAGCGCTCCTCGCCGCTGCTGTCACCTGAGCTTCGAGTGAAAGCTCCGGGTCGAGGAGCACTCCCAAGCTGCGGACCTTGTCCCTAGGAGGGAGTGCAACCCCGTTCAGGACAAGGTTCAATTCACCTTCTCCGAAGCCCGAACCGCCAACCAACAGGACTTCCGTCTTGTCTGGATTGAGCTTCAGTTTATTGGCCCTCATCCAGCCCATTACCTCGGCCAGGCACCGGTTCAGTACAGCCACTGCCTCACCTGGATTGGTGGAAAACGAGAGGTAGAGCTGGGTATCATCAGCATACTGATGGTTCCGCAGCCCACACCTCCTGATGACCTCTCCCAGCGGTTTCATGTAGATGTTGAACAGTAAAGGGGACAAAATGGAACCCTGCGGTACTCCATGGCAAAGCTGCCATGGCGCAGAGCCATAGCCCCCCAACACCACCTTCTGGAATCGGTCGTTGAGATAGGAGCGGAACCACCGCAAAGTGGTGCCTCCGACCCCCAATCCCGCCAGCCTATCCAGAAGGATACCATGGTTGATGGTATCGAAAGCCGCTGAGAGGTCCAGGAGAACCAACAGGGACGCACTCCCCCTGTCCTTCTCCCTGCACAGGTCATCGTACAGGGCGACCAAGGCAGATTCAGTACCGTACCCGGGTCTGAAGCCGGACTGAAATGGGTCCAGATAATCAGATTAACACCCCCCCACCCCCAATTCTCCTATGTGAAAGGTGCCACCCTACTGACCTGCAGGTATCTGCAGCAAAACAAGCCAGAACTGGGTAGACAAACCAAGATCTGCCTGCTGTCGCCTGGAGGCCACGCAAGCTGGAGAGCAGGGTTTTCCAAGGGAAGCTGCCACAGGGGCTTGCTCTGGCAGAGTGATCTGCCCCGTCTGACCCTGCCCTTCCCTTCAGCACTACTAACACTGTGAAGCCTGGCTGTGGCCATCCCACTGCTCTGCTGAGGTGTTCCTGTCACATGATGAAGTATCTCCATCACTGGGTGTTGCCTTGGAAAAGGCTAGGAACTTGGCGAAGGCAGAAGCAGCAGCCCACAACGACCAGGGCGAGCTCTCCCAGTGCCATCCACAGGATGCCCAGCGCAGATTCCACAGTGGCTCTGCTGCACCGCCGGGCGGCAGATGAAGGGCGAGGAGCAGCAGGGCTAGAGGAGAACCCGCTGCCAAGAGGCCCATAGAGGGTTCAGTGGTCTGCAGTGACTGGAAGTGTCTTTGCCATGATCACTCCTGCCGTAGCACTGGGCAGCGCTGCCAAGTGAAGCCATTTGGACGTCGAGGCTGGACGTGGACACTTGGGATGATGCCGAGTGCAGCAGAAATAGATTCCCATAATCATAAACTTGGCAGAACTGTAGGCTCTGCTGAAGCTGCTCCGCTAGACTCCCTGCAGAATGCACTCTGGGCCGCTAAAAATCAAGGCGGTGCTCCCCTTACGCCTTTCTGGATGTGGCGGAAGGCCTTGCCCCAGATGCCTCCACGGCTCGCTGCATCCTGCACAGCATTTGCAAAGCGAGAGGGGAGGTGCCTTTGCTTTCAGAGATTGCCCAAGTCAACCCCACCCTGTCCGCCGAACCCACCATCAGCACCAGGGGCCCACTGCGCAGCATGCCATGGCCACACAGCTCTGCCCACATGGATCTGGGACCACTACCCACACGTGCACCATGCACAGGGACTGTGCGACTCCTGTAACAGTCCTGGGACAGAAACATTAACTATTCTGCCCGGGACTGTTCTAGCAGCTGGAATGCAGTAGGGAAGCCTCCCCCTGATGTCATGGTAATCCTACCTACCACAAGCATCCTTGGCCCATAAGCCTCAGCCATGTAAGCTTCCCATCCTGTGTAAGCCCCTCACATGCATTAGTAGCATAATACTTTAGTATATAGGATACCTCACTTTTCATAGAAACACACCCCATCCTCATACTCCTTGGGATATCTCACTCACACACCACCCATCCCACCACCTGTGATAGCACTCCACACAGGATCATAGTCTGCAGTGGGTGACATTCACACACCTCCTAAAGCTTCCCCAAGCTATCTGACATTGGCCAGGACCGTTCTCTTGGTGCCAAGGATTGCCTGCATAACAGGCAACTAATCAGGATTTCACCATAAAAATGTGAAGAGCTGCATAATGATGGCCACTTACAAGATACAACAGAGATAAAAATGAAGGAACTGCTCTGTGCTGGAAATGCAGAGCCACATCTGTGGGGAAAATAGTCCAACAGAGGGAGGGAGGGGACAAGGGGGTAGCAGGTGAGGAGAGCATTCAGGCTGAAAAGCTGACTGTCCCCTTGGAGATCATGGCACACACGGGTGTGTGGGTAGGAAGCAGGCGAAGAGGAAGTCTGAACTCAGCCTGCTGCTGGGAATGCCAGAGACCAAATTCTTACAGAGGCTTAGCATAATGGACTCACAAGTTCAGGGCAGACAGAAGATTCAAACTGGGGACATGTCAATTTGCAGCTCAACATGCAAGAAATATTTGTATCCATGTGTAACAATACAGACCAAAACAAGCTGCCTGGTGTTCTTACCTCTTCTTCATCACCAGAAGACAGTGCTCCATAGTCATCCACCATCCCATCTTCACTTCCGTCCCAGGGACCCTCACTCCCATCACTGCCTTCGAGAGCATTGCTTTCCTCCTCATCACTGCCTTCACGTCTGGATCCCTTTTCCCCAGAAGTAGAAGGAGTGAGCCACGTAGCATTGTCATCACTGAAACCAGCTCGGTGGCCATCGGGCAGCGTTGCTCTCTCACCCTCCACTGACTTCTCTGCAGCTGCAAAGCAAGAGAAAGGAACCCTTTGAAATAAGCCTCAGAAAAGCAGCTGTTCTCTTAACCATCATCCCCTGAGCTTGTTCTAAAGAGTTCTTCATACGTCAGTTCCCACAAGAAAAATCCCAGTCTTTGAAGCACCTAATTCAGTTTGGGCATTTAGGCATTTCAGAAAAAGTTGTTGCAAAATATGAGATAAGTGCATGAAAGGGACTGGAGGCAAACCCACAAACCTGAAGTCCTTGGAGAAAAGCTCCCACTATATAAATGTGATACATTTTCTTTCAGGAAAGAAGTCATATAAAAACAACAAGTAACACACTTTTTGTAGCATGAGTGTGAAAATGTTTGTAGGTTTGCCACATGTTCAAGGAAGCCAAAGGTTTTATCCAGGGAGTAAGCAGTTGGACCCAGTTATCAGTAATCCTGACCACATCTTCCTGTGAGGAAACAGAAAAGATCAGAACCATCTTCCATCCCTTGAAACATGCCCTACGCAGCTTGAGATTCACTGAGTTCCCATTTGGAATAAGCCTGTAAGCTTTAATCAGTTTATCAACTAAACAGTGGTTGAACAAGAAGGGAGAGCAAATATAGTCTAAGTTAAGGGCATAATTGCTATTTTTGGAAAAAAAACTTTCTGGCTTTAAAGCAGAACCTGATAAGCAGAAAATGTCTTTTTTTGTAATTTCCTGTCTCAGTATCAACGTGTAGGATTAAGAAGAAAGTTTGACATCAATCCCAGGGAAAATTCTGGAACAGATAATGCAGAGGTCAATCTGTAAGCATGTCGAAGACAGTGCAGTAGTTACTAGAAGCCAGCATGGGCTTATCATGAACAAGTCTCGCCAGACTAACCTGAATTCGTTTTTTATTTGCTAACTTCCCTTGTGGACTGTGCAAATACTGTGGACATTATCTCGACTTCAGCAAAGCTTTTGACAAGGTGCCCCATGACATTCTGATCAAGAAACTAGCTAAACGTGGGCTAGATGGAACAATGATCAGGTGGATCCAAAACTGGCTACACAATTGGACTCAAAGAGTATTTCTCGGTGACTTCAAGACTGGGGAGAGGTACTGAGCAGGGTACCACACGATTCACTCCAGGGACCAGTGTTCAACGTTTTTATTAATGATTTGACCAATAGGTACAGGGGATGCCAATAACATTTGCACATGACACAAAATTGTGTGGGATAGCTAATATCCTGGAAGGCAGAAAAGTGATTTTGGTAGGCTGGAAGCAGCAGAATTAAATTTGACAGGGACAAATGCTGAGTTCCACATCTAGGAAAAGGGAATCAGATGCATCATTACAAGGCAGGAGATAGGTTTGCTCAGCAATAGGAGGATCTTGTGATTGTTGTACCCCACAAGTTGAATATGAACCAACAATGCCATGCGGCTGCAAAAAAAGCAAACGCTATATTGGGCTGCATCAATAGAAGCCCGGCTTCCGAATCTTGTGAGGTACTGGTTCCCTCTATATGCAGCACTAGTTTGGTCCCATCTTGACTGTTGTGTCATGTTCTGGGCACCACAGTTTAAGAAAGATGCACACAGACTCGTATCAAAGCTCCTTGAAGGGGGATTAAAAGAAATGGGCATGTTTAATCTGGAGAAGAGAAGCCCAAGCAGAGAGAGCACTTTTTCAATATTTGAAAGGCTGTCACACTGAGGAGGGTCAAGATCTCTTCTCAGTTATTCCACAGTGCAGACACAGCATAATGGGCTTAAGCTACAGTAACTAAATCCCAGCTGAACATCAGGAAAAACTTCCCGATTGTTAGAGCAGTGCGGCAATGAAACCAATGACCCAAGGAGGTTGTGTGCTTTCCTGCATCGGAGGCTTTCAAGAGGCAGTTGACCAGTCATCTCTCAGGGATGCTTTAACTTGCTTAACTTGCAATGAGCAAGGAATTGGGACTTGGTGGCTTTATAGAACCCTTCCAACTCCACCATTCTATGATTCTATGGCTTCTTTCATTTCTATCCTGCCCCATAGCTGAAGCCCTTTCAGTGGTTTACAACGGTGCATAAAACAAACTATGCCATACAAACAGAACAATGTTAAAATAAATTTAAAATGGCTAAAAAAGATACAGTAAAAATGGCCCTAAAAAGAAAAAAAAATCACCTGGATAATCCCCTCAGATCCCTGGGTAACCAATTAAATCTTTAAAGGCCTGCACATAAAGGGCTGTTTTGATCTGGTGCCCAAAAAGTGGCAAGTCTGGAACCAGGTGGGCTGCAGCAGGAAGATGGGAGACCACCAGAGAAGGCCCTCCTCCATGTGGCCATTCTCCGAGCGTCCCACGGGGCTGGCACGAGGACGGCCCCAGAGGTTCTACCATGCTGTATCATTGGCACTAGGCACCGAACAGCTGCAGAGTCCTCCCAACCCCTCTGAAGAGACCCCTGTGAATGACTGAGATGCCAGCACACCCCCATCTGCTCCGCCCAACCCTTTACCTGTCAATGCCTGGCGATCAAGGGCATTCTTGACTGTCTGGGGTTTTACAGCTTTGATCCGTCTCTTTGCAGCTCTAAAACCGGACAAAAAGAGGAGCAAACAGCAACTATGACTAATATAGTAAAAACAAGTAGGGCTATATGCATTATATCCATAGCAAAGCTACTCAGTTAAATTACAGTTTAAAGACACGTTTTCTTTTCAATACATTTTGGTTCTGTGGTTCTTTTCCAGGGGCAGAAAAGTCATGTAACAATGCAAAGCTGCCTATTTTTTGGAAAATGGTCAAACATGTACTTAAAAAGATAATATTAGAATTTACAATGTGGCTCCCTAATACCATTAATATTACCTATAAACATACAACATACAACATATTACCTACAAACATACAAAATCTTCTGTTACAAGTCTTAACTGATATGTCTTATGGAACAGAAAAGTTCAGGGTTTAGTTTAGTCAAACCGATAGCATATTCCGCTTCTGCTGTTCAATACCAACCAATCAAGACTTGAGGCTTGGCAAAGTGTTGTGACTGGCATGCTCTCAATCCTAACCTCCATTATTTGAATACATTAAAAGAAATCTTTCCGGGGAAGCAGCAGGATTCATTCCCAACAATGTTATTTATTTATTTTTGTATTCATAAGTTGCCAAGCAGTTCAGAAAGACTTTCTAGACCATGGGTCCTCAAACTATGGCCCACGATTTATCTTTAAGTCTCATTAAAGATGGTCTAACAATGATTGGCAGATATTGCTTATTAAATTATAAACATTTGCATTTCTTTTTAATATCATCAGTACCTACACAGAGGTTTCAATAATATGCTTACAAATTTAATATCGGTAACAGAACAATCTTATGACAGAATCTGGGGAGCCACGGGATTCCGCTGATTCCTAGACCTTCCCCTCCCTCGTAGCGAGCACAGAAGGAACCGCATCAGCTGCTGCTCCAAGATCATAAGCATCCTGGGGATGGGGTAAAGGGAGGGTTCTACAGGGAAGGAACTGCAGCTGGTGCTCCAGCCGCCTTCCCTATGTCTGAAGTACTGAAGCAAGATGACCAAAACTGGTGGCCCAACAGACTTGCAGGGTAGCAGCTGCTCTGTGATTATACATGGTCTTTGGGCATCTCCCACCCCACATAGGATGTCCACAGTTGTCCAAGTTTAGAGGACTACTGGCATCCTCAGTGGATTGTGCCTTATAAATTGGCTCCGCAACGAACCTTCGCCGAGCATGAGCAGAAAGCTTCCTTGTGTTTTCATCCGGCTCTAGAAAAAAAAGAAGAAATTCTTAGTTCAGCAGCATAGCAAGCAAGAACAGGAAAGCATCCTTGTTGCATCTAAGATAATAATGAACATTATTTTAATCAGGTTATGGGATATTAATTGTGCATGTGTGCATGTTCTGTTGTGTCATATATAACTAAACTATTTATATTATGCATAATAATGTATTTTAAAGGTTTTTAATCACTGTAAACTGCCCAGAGAGTTTTAGCTGGGTGCTACAAAAATTTAATAAATGAAATAAAGTTCCAAAACCCAAGCTTTGTGACAAAAGAGCGGGGGGGGGGGGGGGGGAGCCAAAATAGGCAAAGAAACCAGAGAAGATAGAAATTTCATGCAGAAGAAAGGCTTTCTACCTTCCTTTCCCACTACCTTCTCCTTAGGGCAACTCATGTTTTGCCTGTCCATAAAAAGTAGTAAATTATGGCTTGCTACAAATATGGATCGGAAGTTATTAGTCCATGTGTGCAACTGGTAGAGAAAACCAAAGCCCCAGATTCATTCTCCAAACACTATGTCTTTGGCATTATACCGGAACAGCAAAGGGATATATAGAGCAAGGGTGGTTCTCACGTAACAAGTGAAGTGTGCGGTGAGGCTCATAATCCTTGTTCCAGAATAGCCTCTGCCAACTCTTTTCATCCATCATCCCCAGCCAGTATAGGAATGGATAGAGATGGCAGAATTTCTGTTATTAAATTACATTTATACTTGCTCCCCAACTGTTCAGCTGGAGGGGGTAGAGGCTTGTTCTGCCTCTGCTGCCAGTGGATGCTTCGATCTTGAGCAAAACCATCAGGTATCGTCAAAGTATCAGGTACATTCACAATTTTACTTGTAAAAATTAAGGCTTTGGTTTTGAGGCTGTAGTCCTGTGCGCATTTACATAGGACTAAGCACCACAAACATGGTTTTCTGAACAAACATGCAAAGGACCGTTCCACAGATTTTATAAACAGGACAAGTAGTACAACTATATATGCTAAGTATGCTGATGTATTTTATGCTGCCAGTGCCATAAAAATAATTTCAGATTTGATCAAAATTACTGTATATATTCATTTTCCCCTAAAAACAGAAAGAAAAAGCCATTGTTTCTTTCACTGCTTCATTCTACCCTACTACATTTGACATGCTAGAAATAATTCAAAATACATCGATTCTTTACGATACTGTAAGGAATGAACAAACATGTGCCCCGCTAAAGCTCTAACATACATCATTATCAAACCTTAAAGGCATTTCACTGATGGCCTCCTGCGTAGCCTTCACAACCACCCTGAAAACTGAACTAGTGTTAGTATGCCTCTTTTGCAAATGTGGAAATTAAACCACGTGACTTGCCAAAGGCCAGCTACTAAATGAACTGAGGGCGATGAAGCAGGTTGGGAGACGGCTAGAGCGTAGGTGGAGGAAATCACGGGATGAATCTGACCGAACACACTTAAGAGCCCACTATCGGGCCTATGCTGTGGCGGTGAGGGCGGCAAAAAAGAGATTTTTTCCTGCTTCCATTGCCTCCTCACAATGCCGTCCGGCGGAGCTCTTTCGAGTGGTGCAAGGCCTGGTCCGTCCAGGTCCGAAAGAAGATCTGATTCCACCCTCAAAGGCCCGCTGTGACGACTTTGCCAGGCATTTCAGGGAGAAAATCGCTCAGATTCGTCACGAGCTGGATTCCACTATTGAGTCAGAGGTCTTAAGGGAGACACCGATGCTACCGTCTGGTCCAGAATTATTGGATGAATTTCAGTTACTGCGGCCCGATGATGTGGACAAGGTGCTTGGACGAGTACGTCCCACCACTTGCCTTTTGGACCCTTGCCCGTCTTGGTTAATAAAGGATTCCAAGCACGGGATTGGAACCTGGATCTTGGAAGTGGTTAACGCTTCTCTGAGGGAGGGTCGGGTGCCTGCCCCTTTAAAGGAGGCGGTAGTCCGACCGGTCCTGAAGAAGGCGTCACTGGATCCAGAGATGGCCACTAATTATAGACCAGTGGCCAACATCCCGTTTCTGGGCAAGGTGCTAGAGTGAGTGGTGGCGGGACAACTCCAAGCACTCTTGGATGAAACCGATTATCTGGACCCATTTCAGTCCGGTTTCAGACCCGGGTACGGTACTGAATCTGCCTTGGTCGCCCTGTACGATGACCTGTGCAGGGAGAAGGACAAGGGGAGTGCGTCCCTGTTGGTTCTCCTGGACCTCTCGGCGGCTTTCGATACCATCGACCATGGTATCCTTCTGGATAGGCTTGCGGGATTGGGGGTCGGAGGCACTGCTTTGCAGTGGTTCCGCTCCTATCTCAATGGCCGATTCCAGAAGGTGGTGCTGGGGGACTATGGCTCTGCACCATGGCAGCTATGCCATGGAGTACCGCAGGGGTCCATTTTGTCCCCCTTGCTGTTTAACATCTACATGAAACCACTGGGAGAGGTCATCAGGAGGTGTGGGCTGCGGAATCACCAGTACGCTGATGATACCCAGCTCTACCTCTCGTTTTCCACCAATCCAGGTGAGGCAGTGGCTGTACTGAACCGGTGCCTGGCCGAGGTAATGGGCTGGATGAGGGCCAATAAACTGAAGCTCAATCCAGACAAGACGGAGGTCCTGTTGGTAGGCGGTTCAGGCTTCGGAGAAGGTGAATTGAACCTTGTCCTGAACGGGGTTGCACTCCCTCCTAGGGATAAGGTCCGCAGCTTGGGAGTGCTCCTCGAACCGGAGCTTTCACTCGAAGCTCAGGTAACAGCAGCGGCGAGGAGCGCTTTCCTCCAGCTTCGGCTGATTCATCAGCTGCGCCCCTATCTGGAGTACGACAGCCTCGCAACAGTGACTCATGCGCTGGTGACTTCCCGTCTTGACTTCTGTAATGCGCTCTACGTGGGGCTGCCCTTGAAGACGGTCCGGATACTTCAATTGGTTCAAAATAGAGCTGCCAGGCTGCTGACGGGAACTGGACGTTATGCTCACATGACTCCAGTTCTCTGTCAGCTTCACTGGCTTCCCATTGAAGTCCGGGCCCAATTCAAGGTGTTGGTGATGACCTATAAAGCCCTAAACGGCTTGGGTCCTGGTTACCTGAAGGAGCACTTACATCCATATATGCCCAGCTGCCCCCTGAGATCGGCGGGAGAGGCCCTTCTCCGGGAGCCCTCCGGGAGAGAAATTAGGAGGGTGGCTACTCGGAGGAGGGCTTTCTCAGCGGTGGCGCCTAAGTTATGGAATGCGCTCCCCAGAGAGGTCCGCCTGGCGCCATCGTTATTTGCTTTTCGGTGCCAGGCAAAGACCTTTTTATTTATGCAGCATTTTAAATGTTAATATTATTGAATTTTATTCGGCCAGGGCAGCTTATTTTATTTTACTGTATATATTTTAATTGTCATTGTTTTAATGTATTTTGTATTCAATGTTGTAAGCCGCCCCGAGGCCTTGGCAAGGGGCGGCATAGAAATGTTTTAATAAATAAATAAATAATAAAATGTACGGCAGAGATGAGTTTTCCACGAGGTATTTTCCTAACAATAAGTTCGATTAATACTAACTGGTTACATACATTCAGAATTCAATCCGACCAAGTCCAGCAGAACCTACTGAACAAAAAATTGCCTTCTCAGGCACTACATTGAGGTGAATAGAATCCTGTCCACTGGTGGACCACTGGCCAGTTTCCAGTGATTAGCTAATGCCCGGCAGTTGGTTACTAGCATTCTGGCAAAGCACATCGCGCAAGGAAAACACTGGGCTGATCCAGTCAAGTACCCCACACGGGCTCTGGCGGGGCAGCAACCTCAGGCTCACATAACGCACAGTAACTACGTTTCAACTGTTCGGCGCCCCGAGAAAGCGCTCTTACTCTCCCATTCATGAATATATACTATACAGACTTCAGCGGTTGCCTGAGCTCTTCAGAACCAGCAGCGAAGCAGCGGCCGAACTATCCTCAGCCAGCGCACATCCCTGCGGGCAGGCCTGACGCGCAGCAGCAACGTACCAGACGGCAGGAAACGGGCGAGCTCCTCTTCAGCTCCCCGCTGCTTGCGGGCCTTGCGTCCGGGGCCTCGCTTCACCTTACGGGTCGGGTCCAACTTGCGCCCCATGGCCCAGGCCGCCCCAGCTCGGCACGACGGAGCGAGTCCTGCACGTGGACAGCCCCTCCGCGGCGCACGCTTCCTTCCGCTCCCTCCCCGTGGGCTCCGATTGGTCCGCTCCCTCCCCTCTCGCTTTGAGGTCTTGTGATTGGCTGGAGTGCTTGGCATATAGACTTTTAAAACTGTTAGAGCAGGCCACAAAGTTATTCAGGTTTCAACCAAAGCTTTGCTCCTTCCCCGTTCTTCACCCCAGTGGCGGAAGTCAGCGCTGTTCAGCGAAGCTCAAGAATTTATCGCAGCTGCGGTTAAGCACGAGCGAGTCCATTCTGAGCCAAAAGTAGTCACACGAAAGGGGTTTCCATTTAAAAAAATGCACCCCCCCCAAAAAAAAAACAAAAAACCCAATTTTCATTCTTAGGCATGTTTAGAAATGTTTCAACCTACTTATATGTATAGTGGTGGAACACGAGTCTTTTTTGCATGCGACTCCGTGCTAGGAAAGAATCGGAGGAAACTGAACTTTGCTGCAACTTGAGGGTTCTATTGTTTTCCTTGATCTACATTATTAGGGTACCCTACACTGCTGAGCTATTATGAGGCACTATCCCTGCCACAGCCATTGAATGGCATGCAGTCATGTTTAAAACTGAACAGTACAACCCTATTCACAGCTATTCATAACTGCGACTGACTGAGTTCTGGTGAGCTTCTTTAAGCCCGCAAATAACATTTTCCCTTGAAATGAATCACGACTGAACCAAGACTAGCTGGCATGCTATTCTTAAGTCATAGCAACGGTTAATTCCAGGGTTTTAAAGGGTTCTTCCCTCGGAGAAAGGGAATTCAAAAAGATGTTCACGTTATATTCCTCTTTAACTTTCTTATCTCTGTCTGCATGGAGCTTCCTAGTGATTTGACCAACCTCTTCCGTCTGCTGCAACCAATCAACCGGCACAGATCAGCCGCTTCCACTTAAGGGTCACTCAATTTAGTAGTTTGCGGTTAAATATAAGGAAAATATTCTTATGAAAGTAGATGTGTATAATCTTAAGTCTCCACAGTGTCATGCTTCCAGTTCATGTATTCATGCAGATAGGTCCAGATCTTAAAAGCCGCAATGCTTTTAGTTTCACTTTCCTACCTTTTCCGCAGCGGATCTCCGCTCAACCCAGATGAGCAAATATTTCCCTGATGGGTTCGGATGTTACAGTGTAATTAGAGCGCTGTGACGATCAGAGTTTATTAGAAGTTTGGATTCTGCTTTGGCTTTTGCCCCTTTATACCTTGGTTTGTTTTTGATTTGTACCCCATGGCAGACTTTTGTTGTGTGTAGAGGTGACTTAACAATGAGCTCCTGCTCTTTAGTAGTACTTCATTTCAACAGGTACTTGGAAAGCAGAGCTTCAGTGATTTCAAAGGTGCTAATTTTAACACGATGCTAATAGGATATTAAACTGCCATGAGTCCAGGTAATCAAAGACTGCGATTCTTCCTCAATTGCTGTGCCTTAATAAAAGTAGGTCGTAGCTGCATGAATGTAGCCTTTGCATCATCATCATGTTCAACCCAAGTGTCACAAGATGTTGCATTTCCTGCTTATATACCTAACCCCAATGTTTGTATTAAAAAAGCACTTCCTAGCAGCTGGTGAAAGGATACTAGAAACATGTACTTAATGTTGTAGAGATTCCAATTGAAAATAAGAGGAAAAGTCTCTTTAGGGAAGTTGCTTTCTTAAGAAAATTCTATGTTCAGCAAAGTTAGTTTTTAGGAACATGCATATGCTATAATTTTGGCTCCCCAAATAATTTTGGTGTGCACACAGAAAATGAGGTTACACGACTTCACACTAATACCACTCTGAAAGTAAATCATTACAAAAAGTAACCAAGCACATACACTTAGAAATCCAACTTTGCCAGTTTGGAAGTTTGACCAGAGTAAGCTTAGAAAAGCCAAATGAGAACTTTTGATTCCTGCTTTTTTTGGGCTGTGATGGGTGGAGCAAAACATAGGCTGATCTTGCAATCTGTTGATTAGAAGCTGCTCCACAGCTTTAAATTGGCTTGCATGTACAGTGTAAGGTGCAATGTAGCTTTAAATGAAAAATTGCTATTTGATTTTTTGAAACCTCTCCTCCAGTCAATCTAGTATGTCATTTTTAATCCCCAAGACCAGTCTAAGATCTGCCTGACCTTGTGCTGAAAATGAAAAATGCCTGCTGTGTACAAAAGTAGGTTCTTTGCCAAGCCAAACAAAACCTAAAACTGTAGAAGGTGAAAAGCCCAAATATTCTGACAGAGCCAAATAAAATACAAGGAAACCTTTATTTTTTTAATTTTATCAAGATTTTTTGTCTTTTTTTCCAGCTGTTTCAGAGGACAAGTCCAGTCAGTTTTTGTATTAAAAGGATCTTGATGGAGGTAGCTGTGTCTGTCCTGACTTGCTTGCACTCGTCTTGGTAAACAAACTCAAAATAAAATTAAAATCAAGAAAGTGAGAGCCAAGGTGATGAGCATTGCAGCCAGGTCTGTGTAACAGATGTGGAACTGCAGCCTCCAGTCACTATGTACAAAGTCCATCCAATGTCCCCTCTCACCCAAGCACAATCCAAGTGCAACTGGCAGCTTATGGAAGAGTGTACTTCCTCCTCTCTCCAGCCATATTCTCCCATACAGAGAGGACCTAATCTGATCAGGAGTGCCAGGCCGGGGGGCAGGGGGGGTTGCAGGTCATATAAGGGTGTGTATATGTCACTTTAGCTGAATCACTGGGTTGGCAGCAGTGGACAAGCATTTCATTGCTGCTGAGCCACCTACAGAGAAAGAGAGAGAAAAACTTAGTATAGTTTACACAATATACAACCCACCCAGCTGGGCAGTCGCCATGGGCCCCCTCCCTCCAGTTCATGGCCAGGGTTAGGGTGGAGAGGGAGAGGTGCAGGCCTAAAGGCTTACCTGCTGGGGTGGTGGCGGTGGAGGAGGTTCACTGCTACGGTTTGCCAAGCGGCTGAGGATGTTGCGCTCCGACATCTGGAGACGCACAGCCACTGGAGGAATGCGGGCAATTGTGGCGGGCAGCCGTGTCACATCGGCCTTCATGTCGCTCAGTAACTCCTCCAGCTGCTTCAGCACTGGAAGAAAAAAGGAAATTCTGGACTTACCTGTGAATTTGTTCTTCTTAAGGAGGGGAGGGCAGCTAGTGTTCAGAAAGGTCTGTGGCCAGGAAGGCAGGCTCCAATTTCAAAAAGGAGAAGAAAGGGCCACTGCCCTAACACTGAAGCGCAGAATGCTCCCATGCCTAAATTGTAGCTATAACCAACGGGTGCAACCAGCTGCAAATAACTATTGCATCCCTTGTTCCCTTCACAGCTGTATGTGGTGGCACCAGTCCTCCAAAAAGCAATTATCTCCTAAAATGTTGCATGACCTTAGAAGATGGCCCCATGTAATGTAAGCCCTAGCTGCCCTTCTTTCCTTGAGAACAGAAATTCACAGCCAAGTCCAGATTTTCCTTGTCTCCCCATTTGTGGGGAGGAGGGCAGCTAGTATTAGCAGGTTAGAAAGGGATACAAGCTAAGAAGGAAATCATTCCATGTACTGGAGGTAGACGTGGGACAGTAGCACACTAGTGTTTCTAGTATGCTTACAGAAATTTGTCTACTGGGGGAAAAGCCAGTTTATAGGGACATTTGCTTTCAACTAGGGAATGATCCGATAAGTGTTTAATTCAGTTGACTAGAAATTGACATCTTTGCAATTGTGGCTGCCACAGCTCCTTGGTGTTGTCCCAAAGAAAGCATGACAAGCAGATCATCCCATCCTGCCTCAAGATCAGCAGGATCTCAATGGAAACAAATAAGATTGGCACAGATTAACCTGCAGTATTTGTTCCTGATTTCAGTGTGAGGGCAGGATGTGAGGCTAGGTATTCTCAGATCAGGCAAGGAAAGATAAAGTGAAATTTGGACTTTACCAGAAATTGATTGTTGTGCTTTCGATGTAGGCTAGCTGGTATTTCATTAGTTTCTTTGAAAATGTTAGAAAGTAGTCTTTCGTGTTTCTAGGACAGGAATTGATATGACAACCTCCATTTCCAGCAAAACTTTGGAAATCCTGCAATATTTGGAGGGACTGTTGGCTAAAGGAACCAAGAAAAATCTGTGTCTCAGCTTTCTGGAGAATTCCGTGGCATAACTTTTGGAAACTAATACCATTATCCACTGGTGAGGCTTTTCCAGAAATCCAAAAATTCTGTCAAATGACTTTCAACTAACAGGATGAGCTTAAGAGTCATGATCAAAGGCGTATCTACTCCAGCATTCTCTTCACAGTACCCAATCAGCTGACTGTGGAAGCCCAAATGTGGAACATAAATACAGTTATACCCTCCTGTTTGAAGGAGAGAGGAGTGCACCATGTATGTATGATGTTTAGATTTTGCTGCACAAAACTGAGGAACAGCTGGGCTTGGATCTCTTCTGCTTTTGTTTTTATTCAGTCATAATGTCCCTTTTATGAAATAAAAAAGGAACAACATTGTTTGGAAGCAGTATTTTCTTTGTGACAGATGAAGCAACGTTCATGCCTACTAAAGACAGTTTCCAAACAGTACCAGAAGAGCTTGCAGTCCAGGAACGAAACGTTAACTAGGCTTGCCTTAGCCCTGTTATTTCCAAGTCAGTTGTGTAGCAACAGATTTCTCTGGGCAGCTCAACAGCATCTAAGCATGTGTTAGTAAGGACAGTTGTGCAGATATAGGTAACACATTTATTCAGGCCATCTCTGTTTAAAATGATCACTGACTTATGCAACACTCTCTCTATAATAAGAACGAAAAATGTGGAAGATGCTCTCAGAACCCACAGATGACAAATCCAACTTTCTAGGTCTCGCAGCTTTGGAACTGTGGCAGAGCTCATCTTTCAACAGCTTCCCAGCTTCAGCTTAGAATGATGGCTTTGAGGTGATGGCTTTGATGGCTGTAGTGGCATCAGTTTTGGAACAATCAGTCTTGTATGGTGTTTTCAATAGACAGCAGATCTCCCAGGTGGGAGAGAAG